TTTTCCTCCAGGGTAGATTGGCAGAGGCCCTGGAGGTTTTTCGCCTTCCTCCGCAGCATTGGGCAGGGGTCGCAAGCTGGAGGATTCTCTGCGACTTGAAGTCTTTAAATCACGATCTGGAGACTTCAACAGCTGAGTTAAGGGAAAGTGGGTGGGTCAGCTTTTGTGGCCTGCATCATGCGGGAGGTCAGACTAGATGACCATAATGGTCCCTTCTGACCTTTAAGTCTATGAGTCTATTTGTCTGAGGACATCATAAATAAAGACCTCCATCAACAACATCCACCTCTATCAGGGTGGTAAAACACTGGAATAAATTGCCTAGGGAGGTTGTGGAATCTCCATCTCTGGAGATATTTAAGAGTAGGTTAGATAAATGTCTATCAGGGATGGTCTAGACAGTATTTGGTCCTACCATCAGGGCAGGGGACTCGACTCGATGACCTCTCGAGGTCCCTTCCAGTCCTAGAATCTATGAATCTAGGAAATGGAGATTTTACAATAGTTTAATGTCTAATATCTAAGATTTGTGGGAAATTAATGTTCTTTTAGTTTTACCAGCACTTTTTAGTAGGGAAGGGCAGACATTTTCTAATCACTTCAGTGTGAAACCAAAATAGTCCAACTTTCCTGGAAGTAAAAGCTATTGTTGAAGGGGCACAAGATTGGTGCAGAGATATGGAGCTTTTCACTTCCAGCTAAAGCTGAGCAAATAATTGAGTTTCGGGAGGGGGTGGGGGGAAGTGAATTGAAACGTAACTCTTCAGCACCTAGAAAAATGAAAAACTTCAAAACACACAAAAAGCACAAGCATGTACTACACCACACAGGAATTACAGCACCAAAACAATTAAGCTTGAATTCATACAGGAACCAACCACTGAAGCCAGGAGGAGATCAAAGTCAGCTAATCAAATGATGACAGTGAGGGCATTTCAAAGGGGCAGATTAGCTGAGAAAAAACCCCCCAGCACATGTCTTCACTACAGAGTATTAGTAATTCATTAAAGAGAATGAATTCTGAGCTTGGCATGCTCCAGATTACTATCTGAAGCCTTTGTTTCAACCAGTGGCAAGGCATGAATCCAGCTTGGAGGAAATATCTGTACCTAACATTAGCACTGATACAACTCTCATTCTGGTAAAAAGGGAGATGACGGTGTGAGACATAGTGGCATCCCACTCACCCACTTTTTCAGGATGAATGAGCTTGCCCTAGCAAGTGAGGAGAGTTACGATATAAATGTCTGAAGAATTTAAACCTTAATTTAAAAAAATTTATATTTCCATCCATTATAGCTGCAAAGAGCCTTCCAAACAACAAATGGGTATAGATCAATTTAGTGCTGCCTTTGTAAGTCTGCAGAAAGATAGCTCAAGTGACTCTGCTGCTAATTATAGAAGTGTAGGTCTGGAAGGGACCTCAGTAGGTCATCTCATCCAGTCTCCTGCACTCAAGGCAGGATTATATAATAACTAGACCATTCCTGGCAGGCGTTTGTCTACCATATTCTTAAAAACCTCTAATGATGGAGATTCCACAACCTCCCTAGGCAATTTATTCCAGTGCTTAGCTACCCTGGCAGTTAGGAAGTTTTCCCTAATGTCCAACCTAAACCTCCTTTGCTGACATTTAAGTCCATTGCTTTTTGCTCTATCCTCAGAGGTTAACGAGAATAATTTTTCAACCTCCTCCTTGTAACCTTTTACATACTTGAAAATTATTATCAAGACCCCTCAACCCCTAGTCTTCTCCAGATTAAACAAACCCAAGTTTTTCAATCTTTCTTCACAGGTCATATTTTCTAGACCTCTAATCATTTTTGTTACTCTCCTCTGGACTTTCTCCAATTTGTCCACATCTTTCCGCAAATGAGGCGCCCAGAACTGGAAACAATACTCCAACTGAGGATTTATCAGCACGGAATAGAGTGGAAGAATTACTTCTCATGTCTTGCTTACAACACTCCTGCTAATACATCCCAGAATGATGTTTGCTTGTTTTGCAACAGCGTTACACTGTTGACTCATATTTAGCTTGTGATCTACTATATCCCCCATATACCTTTCCGCAGCACTCCTTCATAGGCAGTCATTTCCCATTTTGCATGTGTGCAATTGATTGTGCCCCTTCCTAAGTGGAATACTTTGCATTTGTACTTATTGAATTTCTTCCTTTTTATTTCAGACCATTCCTCCAGTTTGTCTAGATCATTTTGAATTTTAATTCTATCCTCCAAAGCACTTGCAACCCTTCCCAGCTTGGTACTGTCCACAAACTTGTACTCTCTATGCCATTATCTAAATCATTATAAAGATATTGAACAGAACCGGACTCAGGACTGATCCCTGCAGGATCCCACTCGATATGCCCTTCCAGCTGGACTATGAACCACTGATTACTCTCTGGGAATAGTTTTCCAACCAGTTATTCATGCACCTTATAGTAGCTCCATTTAGACTATATTTCCCTAGTTTGCGTATGAGAAGGTCATGTAAGACAGTATCAAAAGCCTTACAAAAGTCAAGATCTCTCTCATCTACTGCTTCTTCCCCATCCACAAAGCTTGTTACCCTGTCAAAGAACACTATTAGGTTGTTTTGACACAATATTTGTTCTTGACAAATCCATGTTGACTGTTACTTATTACCTTATCTTCTAGGCCTATATATAGGAGATGTTTGATAAATTTTCATAACTATCCTTTTGCTCTCCAGCAGCATGGCAAAGACTGATCAGTTTCACTGCTACTATTCAAAAGCTTGTTTGCACCAGTGAAACTGTCAAGAATGTCATTTCAAGCAGTTGCTGCTTAGAAAAAAAACTAGCCACAGAGGCAGCCATGCAAGCACTGGGGCTATGTCACAGGGGAAAGACCTTCCCTTAAAATAAATAAATGAAAGTTGGGGTGTAAAGGTAGAGTAAAACCAGTAGTCTCTGGGAGAAAGATAACGGCAAAGAGCTTCTGGACAGAAGAAAGGAAAGACAGAAAGTTCTTTCTCCCTGCCACCCCCTTCTAACAGCTAGATGTGAATAAAAAAGATGAAACCTACTTGTGATTGCTAGAGACAGCTACCTGGTAGAAAATTCAGTCTCCTCACCTTCTGCCCAACTGTTGGTGCGAGAATAACTGAGTTTCTTCCAACATGTTGCCCCTGGGCTTCACTGTTGCTCAGCCCACACATCTCATCCTCCATAATTACCTCTGGGATAATAACAGCTAAAAAGTATCTTGTAATCTTTTCAAGACCTGGGCTGAAGGACTTACAACAAAACCAAGGAAAGATATTCTTGTTAAAGTCAAGAATTTGGAATCAGGAGTTCCAAACCCAGTTCTACCAGACTTTCAGTGTAACACAGGAAAGTAAGTCTCCCTGCCTCTTTTCTTCAATCCTAAAATGAGGATAATCTTTAATGTTTGCAAAGCATTTTGTAATCACTGGTTAGAAGATGCTTTAGAAAAGCAAAGTATTGTTAATGGAGCCAGTCATCTCTGCCAGAAATTGTTAGAAAACATTAAAATAAAAGTCTAAAAAAGGCGTTAACCTTCCATTGTGAAGTAGCAGCCGTATAGCACGTTGCCATGCTTATCTGTGTCTGTTGCAGTTTCCTAGCATTTTAAATACCCATCACAATCAATGAAATAAGTATCTATATACCTAACCGCATGCTGAAAATATTCTCAGGAACCACACACCAACATTCTAAAGTGACAGTAAGTGTGCTCACGTTCTATTCCCACCTCTATCATTGATTTGTTATGTGGCCTTAAGCAAGTTAATATTCCTACATGCCTCACTTTCCACATCTGTAAAATAAGGATAATCAGGTCTTGAAAAATGTACCAATCATGGTCACCGACTAGCAAGTGGTCTAAGCCTATCACCCATACACCTGTGAGAAATATGCTTGCCCTCCTTAATCAAATTTCAGAGGCAATGCCTCAGTAAGAAGACCAGCCTCCATCTGCTGGTAAGGTGAGTGCTGTCCCAATTTTCAATTTAGCCTCTAGATAGGCGGTGTTTGATAAATCTAAAGCTGCTTCTTGCTTCCAACATTCCTTTTCTCTCTCTCCCTACAAAGCTTCCTGGCTGCTATGAGGGGGTGGAAGGATGTATTTTTACCCTTCCGCAGCAAGGTAGGTGCAATTCTACTACTTCATCCCTCCTGCAAGCAACTGCTCATAGCTCTCCTGAGCAGAAAGAACATGGCACTGACATCATTCTCATCTGTTTTACTGCTGACCCATTGGTCCCTGACAGTAGCAGTGAAACTGACTGTTCTTGTCAATTGTATTCTGCAACTGCTGAGCTCTGAAAAAGGCCAAAGCAGTCTACCTGAAGATTTAAGAGGCTGTTCAGGTTTGTTATATTTTCTTTGCAAACCCAAGAACTAGAAGCTTAAATTCTACAGGAACTAGCAGTTAAAGCTCCCCAGTTGTGAGTGGATTTTCAATCTTGCAGTTTTCAGTATCAACTATCTACCATCTCATAGGACAGTCAAGGTTTATGGAATAAAGAAATTAAAGGACAGCCACCATTCCCCCCACACCCTTTTGTGCCTTAACAGGTTTGGGGGTTGTATGAGAAGAGGCCCCAGATGCATCTGACCCTCCTTTCCCCTCCAAACCCTCATCCCCACACGAGGCCCGGGCTCCCTATCCTAGAGATTACTCCCGGATTTCCTTTGGTGTCTTGTGGGGGTGGGGGCTAGGAAGCCCTGTGGCTCATCCCCTCCTCTCCCGTTACAAGAGAAGTTAGTGGGGAGGAGGGGCTGAGATTGAATAAAGGCTGCTGGGGCTGGTGAGGGACGGAAGCGGGAGGAAGATACGTTTCCCCTGCCCCACCTCCTGCTGGGGTTTGAGTGCCCAGGCAGGCCCCCTTTCCCTTAGGAGTAAGGGCATGGGGGTGTCCCCTTCCCCAGTGAAGCCCTCACACACCGCAGGAACGGGAAGATGGGATACATGGGTCTCGGGGCTTCTCAGACCCTATCTACTGACCTGCCGCAGGATGGCTTTCCGGGAGGGGGGGGTCACCCTACGGAGCGCAATCCCCTCACCCCACTCAGTCTCCTCCAGACTCATACACACACACAGCCGCTTTACCCTTCCCTTTGCCCCACACAGATCTCTCCGCCCCTCTCACACCCTGCCTTCCCCGTCCTCCTCTCCCCGTAGGAAGGCTCCGCAAGGGAATGGACAGTGGGATCGGAGTGAACCGACTCCTCTCGCTTCACCATTGACAGCCGAGAAAGGAAAGGGAGAAAGCCAGCGCAGAACTATTTGATCCGACTGGCGGCAGTATACCTTCTCGTGCGTGGTGATGCAATTTTTAAAGGGCCCGGCGGCGGGGTGGGTGCAATGCATGCTGGGAATCGTAGTTTCCCCTTCTCTCGCTCTGAGTACACCGTACTAGGACCATCTCTCAGCAAACCGATAGTGTCTACCCCGCGGCGCCACGCCCTTTGCCACCATTCGAGCCAATCGGCGTGCGCTTTGCGAGAGCGAGAGCGCGCTCATGGCTCGGTGTCCCGTGTGCTCGGCAGCGCGCGAGTGGCTAGATTCTCCTTCCTCCGTGCGCGCAGTAGAGAGAGTGACGGTTGGCGCCCCGCGCGAGGAAGGGGGAGGGACGGTTGGTGTCGCGCGCCGTGGGGGGCGTGGTCTCTGCTTGTGGCCGGCCGCTGGTAGTAGTTAGTTAGCTGTGTGAGTCAGTCAGTCGGTGGGTGCCAGAGTCGGCTCCTCCTCGGGGCTCGGCGGCAGCTGAGCTGAACCGTGACGAACGAAGCCCTCAGCCCTGCCAGTTTCTGGGGCCCCTCAGAGGTAAGGGGGCAAGTACAACGTGGAGGGGGTAGTTAAAGTGACTTAGGGGCATTTAAATGCCCCTCTGACTGGCTTAGTCCTTCCATTTGAGGGGCGAGGGGAAGGAGGGGGAGGGGCTGGAGGACCCAATAGGTCCTTCTCCCGTGGAGGAGACAGGAGGAGGGGAGCTGTGGGTGGGGAGTCTTCCGGGGTGGGGTAGTTATTTGCCCCCTTTAACCGTGAAGAGGGAAGTCTGATGGAGGCGGGAGGGAAGGAGGCAGAACCATTCACGGAAAATGAATTGGTTCCCCCCTCCCCGCCACGGCTCAGATTTCCTCTACAAGACGTCTCCTAAGTTGGGGTCTGGGGTGGGGGGTAGTAGGAAGGAAGGAAGAGACCTAACTCGTCTGCTCAGTGGATTGGTGGAGTAGAAGGAGCAAAAATATATTGGAAATGGCTGATCAACTTTTTTTGACATCCCCGTCTCCTGGGGGATGGGGGCAGGGAATTGAGGGGGAATTGAAGATACAACAGCAATGAAGGACGCCTAATTATCTCTGTTTCCATCGTTCCGCAGCTCGGGATTCATTGCCTGTCTCTTCATTTGCCCCCTCCTCTTCTGTCCTCCTCCCTAGCATCTAGTCCTAAGTGGGCTCCTCAAACTTAAGGGAGAGGTGGAGCTGCTTGTTGCTGAGTAGAGAGGGTCTTGGATATAGCTAAGAGGCAGCGGCAGCTTCTTACAGCTCAGCCCTGATTGAGTCCATAGATCTCTCTCAACTGCCTCTTATTACAGACCAGTTATTTATTTGTAGGCTGGGGAGGCCAGGGCAGTTGCTATTATCCCCCTTGTATCTTTCAAATGATAGGTACCCTGACACTTTTTTTAATAAAGAAACTTAATTTTTCTTTCTCTGTGTATATATATGTTTTGCATTTTCAGCATGCTCATTTGCTAAATATGTCGCAACACAGTCTACCTCAGTCTGCAGTTTTGAGATCTTTGTGCTGTTCCTCTGTTTCCACTTTCTAGGAATTTTACAAGTAAAACATTGCTGCAGACTCCGATTTATTTCTACTCCTCACAGACCTGGTTTCCTCTTGTTTTTATTATTGTATATTATTGGCATAAAGAAAATGAGATTAAAACTGTTAATTTACAAATGCCAAATTATTTGCTACATTATATTAAGCTTTTCTGTTTTACTATTCATTTGTCCCTTATTTTGGGATTTGGCAGATTGATCAGTATGACTCTGTCTCTCCTTATCTCTTATCCGGTTTTACCCAAAGGTTGAGCTGGGTCCAGATATGGAAGGATTGAGAAGTTTATTCATTAGAATCTGCTTTGTAATACTGGGTAGAAAAAAGGTGTGTTTATAGTGCAGAGATTATCATTATTTACTGAGCAGCTGGTATCTGACACAAGATGGCTATGCTCTTTTTGGCTGGCACCGGGGAGAAGAAACATGCATTGGTATGCCTCCCAGCTTGGAGTTGATCAGGGCCTCTTCTCTAGAAAGATTGCTTCTGTTTATCTTAGTTACATTTTGGATGCTTCTTTTTGTAGAACTCTGCTTTCTGTGCACTTTGATCAGTTTGTAAGACTCTGAAGTTTCTTCTGTTATTGTAGATGTTTTAAAGGTTGTCTCATGTCTGTTAAAGCACTTCACTTCTGAATTTGTGATTCCATGTGCCTGAAAAATCTTTACAGGATAAATAAAATACAGAATAAAAGAATTCTTTAGAAAATACTAAATAAAACAGTTGCTGTAAGATACAAAATTGAGGTCTTGAGACATTTATTCCAGATTTGATGGAATTCTGGAATTCAAATTCTATAGTTAAATGAAAGCTATTTAAAACTGGTTGTCCTATATATCTATATCTATATCTATATATTTTTAAATCCTGTCTGTTTCAAGTTAGGTTCATTTAGTTCTGTGTGGCTATATTTGACTGATGATTGACTTGTGTCCTCATTTGGATAGATGGTTTGATTCTGAACAATACACTAAGGAGGCATTTATATTGCTGAATATTTTGCTTTGTAACTCTGACTTAGGTTTAACATGATTAGTTTGAGCTCTTCACTTGATTTCATATTAGTTTACAGATTTTTGTTCTGCAAACTAGCTACTGATGATTTCTCCAGATAAAGTGCTCTAGCGTGTGTTACAGGAAAACCTCATATTGCTCTCTGCAGTGTTGAAGTATGTAAGAAGTGAATTATCCATTTTCCATGAGTAACTTTCCATGAGTAATCCTACATACTCATTTCTTGATGGCGTTACCTTATTGTCAGAGCATCCTAATGGGTAGCTCCATTCTCTGACTTCCCAAATTACTTTTTAAAAGTTGTTTGGCTTATCTTGACTCTGGTGACTCATTCACACATGAACTGCAATGGCAGGTATTATTATTATTATTTATTATTATTATTTTTAAGATATTGGACAGAAGATATAAATTTAAACCAAGAGATGAATCTAGTGACCCAGGAGCACCGCCAGCTTTTCTGCCACCCTAGGTGGCGGAAGGTCCCGCCCCAAAATGCCTCCCCCCACAGAGGCGGCGGAAGGTCCCGCCGCCGAAATACCGCCGCGGTCGCCGCCACCCAAATTGTAGCACCCTAGGCGACCGCCTACGTTGCCTAATGGGTTGCACCATCCCTCTAGTGACCTGAGCAAGTTTAATTCTAGATCTTTACTGATGTTGTTCAGTTTTACCTAGCTACATTAAGCGCAGAAACATGCTGTTAATATTATGGATAGTTTCATTCAAGGACAGAAGCCATTAAATTTACTGCATATTTGTTTAACAAAATAACACATACCATTATGTTGAAAAGTCACAGTGCACTAAAGTTTCCATTCAGTACATTTTATGCTTTTTTGGGGGTGGGGGAGGGAGAAGGAAAGGGGTATATCTGTGCAAAGGACCACTCCACACCTTGGATACATACCTATTTCTGTATGCATAACTCCATATAAACCCTTTTTAGATTTTATTTACCTGATTAAATATATATTCTTTTGCATATGCTTGCCAAATAGATTCATTATAATCCATTTAATATATTAGGAAAAAAGGACATCTTTTTGATCTAACATAACTTTAATGGTCTCTTGTGTAATCAGGACAGTCAGACCTTTAGACATGAGCCACACAATGATCACAAGTTATGGTTTGGAGTCACAGATGTTAGTGATTGCTGTTAAGCATCTCTGTCATGTTAGGAAACATGTACACAAAATAAACATATGATCAAAATACCAAGATATAACATGATGATTTTTTTTCCTTTTTCTCGGTTGTGGTGTTCTTTCATTTCTGCACCTATGCCTTTGTTCTGTCCTCTTTCTTTTGCGTTCCTTTTTGCTATTTTCCCCCCTTTTATGCCCTCCTCTCATTCCCTGTTTAGAATTAACCTCCCATTAGTGCTCATGAGCCCCTCCACATTGCCTCCTGGTCTGATGGGAGCTGCTGCTTTGACTCCTGTCTTTTCTTTTCTTCTTTCTGGCCACATTCTGACAAGATTGTCTTTCTGCTGCTGCTGACTGGGTTGTCCTCTGTCTTGTTTTGCACGTGTGGCTGTGGGATTCCCTCTTCTCCTAAGCTCTTGACAAGAGGAGCCCAAGATTTCTAAATGAATTGTTAAGCATGGTTCACACCGTAGGTGTATGTACTATTAGCTTCCACATTTACTCCAGCTTCCTGAGCTGTTATGCCTGATGGAATCCTGCTGAGCTGCTCCCTCATATGCAATCAGAGTTACAGCAAACATTCTGACATTGTCATTGTATTTTGATATTTTACTATAGATGTAATAATGAGAGAGAATCTGTCACACAGGGAAATATTGCAAATGTGAACACTATAAGGAAACTTCTTTATAAAAAAAGATATATTTAAATACAAAAATGAGATTAAAATATCTGATCTGGAATTATAATAATTATAATGTTTTATTCATTCTCTAATGAATTACTGGTATATATTGTCATTCTTGCCAATTCTTTACACTCTGAAAACATAGTAATAGCACGTCTTAGCATTTTTTCATTTGTGTCTTAGTTGGAGCAAAGTTCTAAACGGATATAGTCCAGTCATGTTAGTCCCAAAATGTAGTGTTTATTGGGGGGGGAGGGAGTTTAAGGGAGTCCAAATTCATTCCATCTACATATATTAGATAGTGTGAAGGTTTTGGGGAGGCGAAATTCATCCCCAACACAGTGCTCAGGCTGAAACAGAGGTTGCAGTCCTTCCAGGCTATTTAGTTAGTGCATTGGGCCATTGAAACTACATCAAAGCATGGCACCTTCCTTGGCCAGCCCTCAGCCTTCCTAATCCCATTGTTCTGTGATAGCCTATGTGGGGCTGGCACAGAGACCATTTCTGTGGCCCGTAGGGGTTTTACAGGCATACTTGTGTGGGTCCTGTTTAGAGCTTAAGTGGAGTGGTGGGACTTGCATTAGCCCAAAGATGAATTTAATGCAATGTTAACAGAAATGCTTTCATGATTTCCAGCCCCCCGCCCCCCCACCGCACACATTTTCTTGTATAGTAATGAAAACTCAGACTCCACAGCAGGAAATAAAACTGATTAGTCTAGTTTAATTGTCAAAGCTGAGTGAAATATTACAAGTAAACAGCATAAATGGTGAAGTGAAAATTAGACCTGTAAAATTATTTTACGTTAATATGCCAGAGATGTTGTTGACACAAGTAAAGAATTTATTTTTAATCGGTATCTTCAGCATTTCTATCTAGTTGTCCAATATTATAATTGTGTATCATAATAAAAATGTGGTTTGGTGTTGGTGGTCTTCTGTAACCACAGACTGGCTGATTAGTTGAAATGTGCATAAAGCAAAGTTGGGCAGTGGGAATGGTTCTGAGGTTAGTATCTTTTTTGTAAAGACCCATCTACCATACAAAATTTACCACGTTAAGGAAATAAGTTAAAACAGCAGTAGTGCAAATATTATAATATGGTCTGGTTTTGCCTGTGTAGATGGGAC